TTTGCAGAGGAACTTTGCCTGTTAAATTTTGATATTCTGGAAAAAAAAATAATTAAAAATAACTTTAAATGCTCCTCCTCAGCACCCAAAAAGCAGCAGCTGGTGGTTTCAGAAGACACAGCAGGCAGAAGAGTGTAGAGAGCTCATCTCTGTGTGTGGCCATAGCCTGTGCCTTGCCCTGCTTTCCCATGGGAACTGCCAAGCCAAGCCATGCCAGGTATCTTCCCAATCTTCTCAGATGTTTTGTATTCAACCTCCCAGCTTTATTTTATGTGTTTGTATCCCTAAGAGACACCAGAAGTCTAAATCCATGGAAGCATAAAAATAAATGTACTCCATTAAATTCAAACAGATTTGCTCCAGAGCACCCACGAAGACCTCCAAGATCATTGAGTCCAACCTTTGACCAACCCTAACCCTGACAAAGAGAGATGTGAGAATGTCATGTCAGTGGTCACAGAAAACACCTCTTTCATGTGCAGTTTGTATGCACAAAAAAAACCAACCCAGGCTGCTCCATACGTGATTTTTGATACCAAATGAGCTGAACCCTTCTAAAGCACATTTTGGCCAAGTTTTAAGGATTTTTCAGTAAATTTGCATGAAGATATTATGCAGCTGTTATAAACACTTCTCTTTTCCCCATATGCTTATCCTGTGCTACACTACAGACACAAGGGCAATTGCACCCACATCCTCTTGACTCAATTCGTCATCTTCCAAAAGATGGCAAAAGTGATTGGCAATAATTTCATCACTGTTTACTGTGTGTTTGTTCTGCACCATTAGGTGGTCTGTCCCTTATAAATCCTGCACTGATGGTCTTGAATCATCAGGAGAGGTTTGTATAAAGGCAGCAAAGATGTATTTTCAGTTGTTTGTGATACATCCCTATGCAGGAGCTCAATTATTAATGGTGATAACACATCACCACCAAGATAGAACGCTCAAAGAGAGCTGTTTATACTTTGCATAGAGGTGTGGAAAGATAACCCACGTTCAAAATAGTGGTCATTGCACATTCCTGACAGTAGTTTCCCTAAATTTTCCCAGCTGACGTGTTATGCCATCACAGGACTGTGATTCATGAGTGTTGCACATCAATCTCAAATCATGTTTGAGCCTGGGACCACACACAGAGAGAGGTTTGAGAGTGACTTGTCTTCTGCTCACCTCTCCCTCTCTGGAGAGATACAGAGGCAGAAATGTCTCAAGAAACAAGAGTAATGTTTCAACACCCTTGAAACCTGCCCTGAGGGGATATTGGTGTGGGTTGTGCTGGACCAAAAACAGGGAAAAGAGTGTTACTAACTCTGCCCCTCCAGGCCTGGCTGTTCTCAGACTGGGATTTACAGCAAAGGAACACATGGAGAACCATGGGACACGTCTTCCTCTCCATAGCCAGTGCCCACCCATGCTGTGTTAGATGAAGTTTGCCATGTGGCTGTGACCTGGGGGACCAGTCAAGTCTTCCCTGATCTTCCCAGGGCCCTTTGCTCAATCCAGACCCTGTGCAGGCTGCACCCTTCCAGTCCTTCTTTCTCTGCCACAGTTTCTCAGCTGCAAAACAGCAGCCAGAATATTTCCTCTACCTGGACTTGAAAACTTGCCTTTCATTCTGTGTAGTATTTGGATTTAGAACTGAATGTTGGTATTGTTTCAAATGTCTTTTTACTACTCTTTATGCAACTTTTGCAGTGGGAAATCTGAACATGTGTCTACGTTGATGCAGCAAAGATCATCCACCACAGCAACACCCACAGCCAGGCAGAACAGCCATGATGCACAGCTGGTGTGTGCCACCAGCCCCAAAGAGCAGCAAAATACATCATCATTCCTTTGGGAATGCTATCAAACCATGAAAAACCTGTTCTTACCATCCCTTCCAACAGGCACAAACAGAAATTTGCTCTCACAGAGATTCTGACCTGTGGAAATAGCTGAGACTACACATCCCCCTGCCCTGCGTGGGAAGCAGGGAGGCATGAGCATCCTCCAATCCTGGAATCAGTCAGGTTGGAAAAGACCTCCAAGATCATCCAGCCCAACCTTCAACCAAATGCCACCAACCCTAACACTAATGAAGAGAGACATGAGAATGTCGTGTCACAGAAAACACCTCTTACATACACACACAAACCCCCAGCTCAGGCTGCACACATGATTTTTGATACCAGAAGAGCACATTTTGGCCAAGTTTTAAAGACTTTTCAACAAACTTGCATGAACAGCCGCCTCTAAAATTCACAAAAGGTAGTAAAATTTAAAATGGGCATTTGACCCCTGCCCCTTGCCAGAGGGAGATTTTTAACAAAAATAGCTGTGTGTGAATTTTTTTCTACTATTCGATAAAGGAGAATGGATGGATAAGAAAATACCCTCCCAAGTATGGTTATAAAATTCAGGTTGTGCAACCAGTGCTTGTGGGATTCTCCAAGGATTAGGAACTGGCCACATGGGCAGGGTTCAGGGGACAGAAGGGGACTTGCCCGGAGAGACTTAATGCTCCTGCTGGGATTCTGGATGGAGTAAGAGAAAGGAAATGCTGCAGCCAAGGACCACTCCAGTCTGTCCCTGGCAGCAGCTGCCAGTCTGACATTCCAGCCTCTTGGCACTGGGGACGTTTCACTGCCTCCAGCACCCTCCCATCCATGAGAGCCACGAACCCTGAGCACTAAACTGTTCCTGCATCCCATCTCTGTGCAAATTTTCAAATATAAACCGCCAAAATCTTTGCCACGCAACAAAGCTGATGAAAGAAAATGAGCTCATTCCTGATATCCCAAGTCCCACCACCAAAAAGCCAAAAGGGCACTTAATACCAACTTCACTTAAGCTTCTGATACCATTTGGAACCATTGTATTTTAACTTCACTTCCATTTGGGTCCCTTCAGGGTGCACACAAGAGAATATTCCATCACAGGAAGCATCTTCACCCAGCAAGGACCACGAAGGGAAACATCCACAGCACCGCTGCTGGCATCAGCACAAGCACAGCTCCACGGCCTGCAGAGCACCACGAGCAGTTCATGACTATTTATACCTCTCCACCCCATTGTGCTGAAAGCTTTTAAGTAATTAGTTTCCCTCATTAGCAGATGCACAGCCTGGGGAAGGGCACGCAGGTGCTCCCCAGCCCCGTCCTGGATTACAGGGCGGCAGGATACGGGCCTGGGAGGGGGAGAGCTCAGAAATGCTGAGCTGGGCTGATAAAACAAGAGCAACACAACCAGCACATTTACATAAAAATGGGTTATTTCCACCGCAGAACCGCAGGTGTTATTTTGGCAAGACCACAAACCCGTAACAGCAGTAAAAATATTCACAGGGCGCTACCACAAACCCCTTGTATTGAAATCAGATGAACAGTATTTATCAACATCACCTTTAAGAGATACTTAAGAGTTATCAGGTGCCACAGTGGGTTGTTTGTTTTGTTAAAGTTGCAAAAAAACCCTTAAAAAAGCAAAGTTTATATATATCTCATGGACCAAAAAGCGATTTGGAAAACATCTTCAACAGGGTGAGCGGTGCTACTCCACAGCTCTAATAAAACACGTGGGGGTTTGTACCTTCTCCCTGACACATCTAATCCATTATTCCATTTTTCTCTCTCGTACTTTCAGAGGCAAACCGGACATTTGGTGAAGTCTAATTTAATATTATCACTAACGCATTCAAACACATCGCTAAAAGCCGCGTTGCTAAAAACTGCACTGCAGACAAAACCAGGTAAAAACGCTGTTATCTCCCTGGAAAAGCTGGGCCTTGTGCTACAGCACCTACTGATGGGAGGCTATTGAAAGCAACAGGATTATTTTCCCGAATAAGGATTACTCCCCTGATTAGGGAGTGCAGGATTACAGGCATTGTTTGCATATCTCCTGTTGTTTACATACCCCTATTTTCACCTCTTGGATTGTTGTGGGTTTTTTTTTCCCCCCCCTTAAAACACAGGGCATTTAGTTACTGTCAGCTCTAGATATCATTATGCTGTACTTTTATCCCTTCAAAATTTTGGCTGGTTTTTGGATGCCAAATAAAATGCCTTTGTGATCAAAACAAAGAATATAAAGCAGAAGCAGCAGAATCTGGACTATGCAATTAAAAACAAATAGAAAAGAGAGAGAGCCTTGTTATCCACAATCAAGACTCATTCACGATTCACTTCACGTTCACGCTCCTACCCATGGCCTCTGCTCTGGGGAGCTGATTGTTTTTATATCAATTTTTTTAATTGTGCCAAGTACTGAGTTACCTGAGAGCTCCCAGGCACTGCTGAAAAATAACAGAACTCAAACCACTGAAACAAATAATGCAGGTAGGTTTGCTGATAATGATCAATAAAGCAAAAGACTTTGGAGTTTTTCACTTTATAAAGAAGTGGTGAAACTTCCTTTAGTTCATCACTGCCACACCCTTTACATACAAAATATTCCTCCTTCCTATCCTCAAGAAAACCATTTCACCAAAGTTTTTCCACCATTTTATGACACAACAGAACATTTAATTCACGGTAAGGATTTAATGCAGGTCTCATTTCCTGTTCCCAACCTAGTCAGAAATGCATTTAACTGAATAAAGAGCAACAATAAAAGTGACACTTCCAACAGGGAACTAACACTTTTTATGGGAAATAAAACTCCTTTCGGATTCTTGCACGTGACACTGAATTACATTAGTCTTAGCTTGGAAAAATCAAACTTGGAACATTAATATATTTTGTTTTAGTAGCATGCTACAGGGCTTTGAAAATTTAATTAGTTCAAGATAGTTTAAGAAGGCTTGATCATAACTTTTGTGTCGGCTCTATAAGTACTGCTTACATACTTTCTAGAGTTAAAAATAAAGGTATTTCCTGCCTTTTTTTAGGCTTCCTTAAGTCACTTTAAAATCAGAAAGAATGCAGACTGTGTTTGGAAAGACGTGTGAAAAGAGAAAAGGTTTTACAGCAGGCTCAAAAAAAAAAAAAAAACCATCAGAAGTTGCCCCAACTCACCGAAACAAGCAGTTTTCTCCCAAGAAGCGAAGTTTATGGTCAGGTACATCTGAGTTACAAAGGACTGCGTTTCCCGGGTGCTTTTTGCGCGGGGCTTAACCTGGAAATCCAGCCGGGCGTGTCGGGCACAGCGGGGTCGCGGAGCTGCTCCCTCTCCCCAAGGCATCCCGGGCTCTCCGGGGACACGGGATGGGGACAGCCACCACTTGTTGCAGGGTGGTGACAGGGAAAGCCAGGACGTGCCAGCTCGGGCTGCGAGGGCATGAATAATTCACCCTCCCGCCTCCCGCATCATCGCCCTGCTCCGGCTGCTCCAATGGAGCAATTCATTCCAGCCTTTTGTCTCCGGGAAAAAAAAAAAAAAAAAATCAAACAACTCGCTGGATTTAACAAGGGTTATCTGCGATGATAAACACCTGGGCCTGCTGATTTATTTAGTCTGATAGGGGGAGAATTTGTATCCCTAAACGCACGGAATGTAAATTCAGCGGTGCCTCCTCAACCTGTTTGGCTGCAGCAACAGTATCTGCCTAAGGCACATGAATGTTTCATTTTCTTCACTTAAATATTGAACTGGGCTCCTCTGTTTCCCGAGCAAAGTTAAGAGGAAAGCTCCAAATGCACACATTTTTCTGGAATGACCTCTTGGACTTTTGAATAACTAACACCTGGCTGCCAGAATGTTCCTATTTTGAGGACAAGACATGAAGAAACAAAAAAAACCAAACTGCCACAAAAGCCAGCAAATTCATAATTCACTTTAAAAAAAAAATAGCCATATATTGGAGAATTATTTTTTAAAGGTTTTGAAGGTGATATTTTAATTTTTATTGCAAGTATTTTAAATAATCAGCAGTAGCACTATTATTTTCCTCAGCATTTGTCTGCATATCTACAATAACCAAAAAAATAACAATAATCTTCCCTCTGATTAGTTGATCATGAAACGAATAATTGAACACAAGGAAGGATTTTTAATCAGTTACCCACGTAGTTATATAATCCATTACAAACAAATATCTATATAATTTTAGTATCAGATAAAGACAAAATATCGTATTTTGATCTTCATATTCTAAACAAAATTGTAGGAAAGAGTTGTTTGAAAGGAAAAAAAGTATTAAAAATATGTGATTCAAGCTGGTTTACTGCCAGAAAAGTTATTGAGAGTTATTGAGAGTTAACTGGATTACAGTGCACCAAGGGCTTTACAAGGAGAAAACACCTCAGACAGAAGTACTTTTGAGGTACATACTTTTTTGGAGACACTGATTACCTACTACAAAAATGTCCTGAGCACACCAGTGACCTCTACATTTCTGAGATACCTTTCTAGAAAATATGCCTTTGCCAAACAAACAGCAAAATAAAGGGCTGGACTCAGAACTTAAAATGCAGAGAACTTAAGGACAAATACCTTTAAATCCCTTCAGCGTTGTGTTCACGAGGTTCATTGACGTTTCCAGCACGTACCTTCCTATCAGCTCCATGGAGTGATTTTGGTAATCTCTAAATCAAAAAGAAATTCGCCCTGATTTCAAGATCTCACCCAGAGAACCATTACACTGTGATGCAAATGAAGCTGATGAATGCTTCGTGGCAGACTTTAAAACGTTTGCTGCTGAGCCTTTTTAGAACAACCCAGGTGGATGCACTTTCCTCCCACCTTTTTCTCATTATTCCAGTCAAGACAAGAAAGAAAAACAACTTGGGGCACAAGGATATGAAATAATTTGATTTTGCCTGGGAACTTAGAAGTAAAAGTTATTTCTGCCTCTGATATTCTGACTCAAGGCTGGTTCAGACTGAGAAAAACACAAGTTTAATTGGTGTGTGATGTGGACGGGACTGAGTGAGTTTTAAGACCTTGATCACCAGCTTAAAACTGCAGCAGGGACAGAAGGGTTTGTGATTATCTGCCTGGTTTTGGCACAAACCAGGATCTGCTGTTTCCTCCAGATTGCAGGTGCAGTAGGGTTTCGAGGTGGTGATTATGGAGATCACCACTGAGGTCACCCCCTCCTATGGTGGGCTTGGAACGACGGCCAACAAATATGTTTTCACCTGGAAATGTCCTTTAGGATGTGAGGAGCTTTAAAGGAAAGGTTCTGCTGAAAGGGAGGAGATATCCAGGCAGATATTGGCCAGCTCAGCCCTTGGAAACATTTCCAGGCAGGATGCACCGAGGTGGAATGTGCTCCTCGCTCTGTCCATGTAATGATATCTCTGGCTGCAGCTGGGGAGGGGATTATGCCGGTCAATGTGAGCAGAACAACTTCAGCTGGGAAGCTGGCATGTCCTGCAGCTCCTCCTGAGGTCTCCTGGTGGATGGTGAACAGGAATGAGGGCAGGAGGTACAGAGAAGGACGAGGAATAGCTGTCTAGTGGTCCTATGAGAGATTTTTGCCTGCAAAAAAAAAATTGATTGACACAGCTGTAGCTCAGACTCCCTATTCAGACAATGTCACATATGCAAGTCAGTGACAAATTATGCTTGACTGTGCTTGAAAGCTACAGAAATGTTGAGTAGCACGAGCAGGAAGATGGGGCTCCTATCCATTGCCATCAAAATATCATCTTTTAGTGCTGTTGACAGTTTAATAGCTACTTCTGTATGTTGGAGAGCATTGTGAAGTACTGCCACTATATTATTAACCTAGGCTGCAGCTTTCCTGCAAATGCAGAGCACAAAACTACACAAATGGAGCTTCTGAAATAGTTTAGGATTAAAGGTGTGCTGTTCACAACACGAACAGGATCTCTCTAATTGCATTTCAGGAGGACCCAACAACACCTTAACCCCTGATTACTTTATCATGTATTTTCTGAGATCATAAAATCGTTTAGGTTGGGAAAGACATCTGAAACCATTGAGTCCAACCATCAAGCCAGCACTGCCAGTCCCTCCACTAAACCATGTCCCCTTAAGCACCACATCTACATAGGTTTCTGGAACCTTCCAGGGACAAATTGATTCTATTCCATTTAAAACATCCAGACGATGAAATTCCATTCAAATCAAGCATTTTTAATTCATCCCTTTTTCCTCCAGGCAGGTGAGATGGGATGTGAACAAGGGGCAGCTATGCAGCCTCCTGCTGACCTGCAGTGCTCCAGTGGTGACGCTCAGAGCTCCATCCTTCAGTAAATCTCCAACGCTCAGAAAAACATGCCTTTGTGCACAGTTGCATCCACGTGTGTAATTGCTTGAAATCATTCCTGGGATATCCTAAGCTGCACCATACCTTGGGAATGGCTTGCACAGCCCCAGCCCGTCACAGTTCAAAGCAGACGTGTGTGATACAACAGAGCTTCAGCATACTGTGGAGCTGGGGAGGGACAGGTGACTATGGAAAAAGTTTGGGAATCAGGAGATTGGAGTGTGACCGTCTATTGATACCTTTAAATTAGCTATCACTGTAGTATCTGGTTTCTGTCAGGGTACTGCAGAAAATCAGTGAGATGCATCTCGGAGGTTGGTGAATCGATTCCCTGCTCTGCCCAGGGGCTGACCCTTCCCTGTCGGCTGTCTCTCAGCCTGTCACCCCAGTTATTTGGCTTTTCTTTCTTCTTGTTCCTTGGCACCGTTGGCAGGCCATGTGTTCCCTGCTGAGAGACCTGTCTGCAGCTTCCACCTCCCCGAGGGGGCTGAGCTGGCTTTGGGATGAGACTGCCATCATTTGCCCCCCGTGCTCAGCACTCAGGGAGGTTTGGAGTCCCCATCCCTGGAGGTGTCCAAGGAATGACTGGAGGTGGCACTCAGTGCTCTGGGCTGGGTGACAAGGTGGGGATGGGGCACAGGGTGGATTTGATGGTCTTGGAGGTCTTTTCCAACCTTAATGATTCTGTGGTTCTGAGACACCAAATGTTGGCTTTTCTGGCACATGGCAGCAGGAGGGACAATGTTTCAGGAGGACCCAGGACAACACAGCCCTAAGAGCTGTGGCAGTGGGGTGGCAGACTTGCCAAAGGGTTACATATTCTGCTGTCTCATTATTCCCCATCTGGAATTTTTTTTTTTTTAAGTACCAGAGAAAACAAAGCATTACAAAAACCTCAAGCTGTGAAAAGAGAAGTCAAAAGCCGGGAGATTCCAAGCTAATGCTGACTCCTTAACTCACATCATTAGCTCAGAGCCATGCCTGAAGTCTGGGCAGCAGCCTGAGCTCAGCTCTTGCTGGTGTGTGTAACCAGCTGAGGATTCACTCATCTGAGGGGAGCAGGGCTGAATTAAGAGACTGGGTGCCACTGAAATGAGGAAAAAGAGGGACAATCAAGAGACAGATTTCTGAGAAATTAGCCTGAGGAAGGGAAGTGAGAGAAGAGAGAAGCTCATTCTGGAGAAGAAAAAAGAAAAAATTAAGGACACTGACAAACGAGGAATGCAAGAGTGATGACATGAGTTAAAAGGTGGGCAGGAAAAGGCAGGTACCCAGACAGGGAGTGTAGGGAATAACCGTGAAAAAGAAGTGATGACAGGGAATGACAGGAGAGAGAGTTGGATTGGGCTCTGGTATCGATCTGGCACAAGGATGGGGACTGCAGTGGAAATGGAAGGAGAACGATGGTCTCTCAGAGAGGAAGAAACACAATTAGGACCGGGTGAGACTGCAGAAGGAAAATCAAGAGGGAAAAATCAAGCTCCTGTCTGGTGGCAGGGGACAGAAGAGTCAGGGCACATTAGACTTGCTCCTCTTTTGTAGGCAGAGCAGGATTCCAGTCTCCATTCCCCTCCCTGCCCAAGGCAAGCTGCATATTGATCGTGCTGGCTGAGTCCTGCCCTTAATTCCTGCTTATCATTTCAGAAATTCAAATTACACACAAGAAACAGAGACTAAAACAATCATTAAGGCTGCAAATGAAATACCCCAGAGTAAGAAAATTCTAAGGGAACTGAGGGGGAAAGGTTTTTGCTAACCCTGTGATATAAATATATGTATATATATATATATTATATATATATGTATTGCTCTTCTGTTCAAGATCTTAAAGCATTTTGACTCTTTGAAAATACACACAGCTGGATACTTACATTTAATGAAACAGTTTTTAAGATAATGACTACAGCAGCTTCAGCGTAATTCACAGTTAAAAGCAATCAAACCCAAAATTCAAAACTGCTCTTACTCAAATATCTACCATCAGTAACAGCCTCTATAGTTCTTGATGAAATGGGAGCCATAAAACTACATTCCAGAGTTTACAGTTGCAATAAGTGCAGATTT